CCCACTCCTATTTCCTCTGTAGAGCAAGCGTCAGTTGTGCTCAGACAGAAGAGATAGGGAGGGATAAAGCAGGCCTCAGGAATGAGGGGTGGGGTGGGCCAAGGCTTAGAGGGTTAGCTTCAGAGACGAGGAAAGATAAGGGCGGGGTGAGGGTTAGGAGTAGGATGAGTGTGTCTCTCCGACACGCATCTGGTAACACAATGCATTTATTTTCTAGAAGCATAGCATCATTCTGTCAAATGATCTGTTTGAAAAGGGCCACATAGGATTGTTTTAAATAAACAAAAGGAATTCTAATATCATGCAACTATACTTGGTGTTACCAAAGGATGCAGGGACCAGTGGATTAGGCAATTGAGACCACAGGTGGGCTTTCAGGAAATTTCTCCCTTTACTATTTCCTGGGAAGAGCAAGTTTCAGGTGAATGCTCCCCTGTTCAGAACATTGGTGCTGGGAGCAGCCCAAACCTCTGGGTTAAATACCATCATTGCTTTGTCTAAATTTCTACATACTCCGAAGGCTATGATTTCCCCTTCTTTCTCTTGGAACCTGTTCAGTAAATACTAAGAAAGAAACTATACTTTGGATGGGAAGGGCATTATGTTGAAGGGCTGAGCCCTGGGGTGGAATCCCAGCTCTGCTATTTACCGGTTGCTAGGGTTTGGGCATGTCGCTTTTTCTCTCTGAGCCTTAGTTCCCCGCTCTGGTACTAACCTAGGCTCGCAAGGAAAAGAGTTCTGTGAGTCTATATTTCAGGCCTTGGCGGCATGTCTGACATACAGTGTGGGTGCTCAATGATAGTGACATACGTCTGTAGGTGTGAAGAACTTTCCTGGGCCACCCTCAGCCTCGGGGACGCTTACGCTGCTCTGTACCCGAACTGGACAGCACGGCAGGCTCCTGCGTTGTTCTGCAGCTGGAGTGTGGCCTCCTGTGTGCATGGATCCTGCAGAGGCGTGGCTTGAACAGTGGACCTGGGGGACTTTCTGTGGCCTCTGTGTGACCACGCAGAGCAGCGGGCCTTGTCTAAGAGCCTTGTTTTCTCTGGACTTGGGTTGAGTGACTGCTGGGATAGAATCCTGAGTACTGAATTTCTAGCCTGAGTAACAGTGAGGCCAGTGCAGAGATCCTGTCCCTTTCAGGTACCATCCAATCCTGAACCTGCAAACTTGAGCACCCACTATGCACTGTGCACCCTGCACTGACATCTTTCATTCATTGAGCACCCATTGTTTTTTTCTGTAAGATGGTTTTTTTCTGTAAGATGTTAACGCAAAAAACCCTGAGTGAATTCTGTGGCCAACCTAATATTATTATTGAGTGCCTGCTTGGCACATAGGACCCTATAATGAAAATGTTGATCATTTTTTGAAGAGCCCCTGTGTTCTATGACTATAACCATCTTCATCATAATCATGTGTACCTGACCATTCTGTGCCTCAGCTTCCTCATCTATACAATAGAGACAACTCTTCCTTGAAGGATCGATGAGATGATTGAGTTAATATACACAGAGTCCTTAAAACGATGCCTGGAGTATATCGAAGAGCTTAATAAATGTTGGCTGTCATGATTAATATTATCAGTTGTTGAACATTAATTATATGTGGGACACTGTCATTATTCTGGAAGTAATAATAGTTAAGGTTTTCAGTTTCAGTTCAGTCGCTCAGTCGTGTCTGACTCTTTGAGACCCCATGGACTGCAGCACGCCAGGCTTCCCTGTCCATCACCAACTCCCAGAGCTTACTCAAACTCATGTCCACTGAGTCAGTGATGCCATCCAACCATCTCATCCTCTGTCGTCCCCTTCTCCTCCTGCCCTCAATCTTTCCCAGCATCAGAGTCTTTTCTAGTGAGTCAGTAGTAATAATAGTTAAGGTTACTGAACACCTCTTGGGCATGAGGCCTTGTTGTTATTGTTCAGTTGCTCAGCTGTGTCTGACTCTTTGCAACTGCATGGACTGTAGCATGCCAGGCTTCCCTGTCCTTCATCATCTCCTAGAGCTTGCTCAAACTCACGCCCATTGAGTACGTGATGCCATCCAGCCATTTCGTCCTCTGTCATCCCCTTCTTCTCCTGCTCTCAATCTTTCCCATCATCAGGGCCTTTTCAAATGCCTTTTCAATTACAAGGCCTTGTAATCAATGTTAATATAAGAACTGAGGCCCACTTGTGAGCCAGAACTGGGCTAGATACTGGAGACCCCAAGAGCAGTGTCCTGGGCAAAGAACCTATAATCTGATAAGGTGAAATTGGACAGTGTTGAAGGTGGCCATCTCTGGGAGAATCAGAGGTGGCTTTTAGGCAAATATGGGCTTACAGCAAGAAGGGGATGCCTTTGAGTTGCCAGAGGGATGGTTTAGGAATCAGGACACCTGAACTATCTCTTGAGCTGGACCAAAATGGAACCCAATGAGCTGTATTCCCTGTGAATGTTCAGCTGGGGAATGGGTCACTGGGGGCCTGCGGACCCACCAGACAAAGGCCAAAGTCTTCTTCCTGGGGAGAGAAGGGATGCAAGAACAGAGGAAAGAGTGGCTGCCCTGCTGAGCTTTGGAGCCCGGGAGGATCTTCCCGGTCCTCCAGAGATGGAGCAAAAGTGGAGGTGAATTCAATGGGCTAGGGGTTTGGTGCCTCCTTGCTTCCTCTGCCTTGGGACCACTGTGTCAGTCTCATGGAGATTCACACTTGCCGCCTTCTCTCTGCCTGCCCACAGGGCTAGGCCTCAGCCAGCACCTCCTCTAAGAGCCATGGAACCTGGTCGATCTCTGGGTTCTGCATTATTTCAAGGTCAGCCCACTCCATATTCTGAGTTGCTTTTACTGGCCCTCAACTCCTGCAAGAAGGGACTGGGCCTGAAATCCAGAGCACAAAGAAATGGGGCCTAAACAGCCCCTGGGCAGCCTGGCAAGATGGTCAGGACTGAGGAAGCCTGAATTCTTGGGTAGAGGCACCCTCAATTCTCAGCTCAGGAAGCCCCAGGCCTGGCTTGGGACTAGGAGGGGAGACTCAGAAATATCTAAGTCTGAGGTCCCTTAGGGACCAGCAGAACAACCCCACTCGTGGGAGGGGGGCCAGGATGGGGAACACATGTAAATCCATGGCTAATTCATTTCAATCTATGGCAAAAGCCACTGCAATGTTGTAAAGTAATTAGCCTCCAACTAATAAAAATAAATGAAAAAAAAAAAAAAGAACAACCCCACTCATGTTACAGGAGGGGAAACAGAAGCCTGGAGAGGGGAAGTGATGTCTCCAAGGTCTCAAGGCAGGCAGGCAGGTGGCAAAAAGAGTTTGGAATCCAGTCTCTAGAGTCCTTTATGCAGGAAGATGGTGAATAACTGGGTGCCTTGTGACGCCTGATTCTTCAGCACCCAAATCAGTTGAGTCTCTGAAGGTCTGCAGCCCTCAGTGGCCCAGAGAATGTTTTCCCAGACAGTGCCACCAAGAAGTTTGGGACTACCTCGTTCTGACCCTTCCAGCCATTACCTGGTCAGGACAGGTAAGGCGCTCTCTCTCTGGCGGTGCTCTCTCTGGCAGCGCTCTCTCTCTGGCGGTGCTCTCTCTGGCAGCGCTCTCTGCAGTGTCCCAGCAAGGGCTGTCCATTCACCTGCAACCATCGCTGGTTGCCTTTCCAGTGCAACTCACATTCACCATCATGATTTTCTCTACATCCACCCCGGGCCTTGGTCATTGAAACCTCATCTTTAAGAGAACAAAAATAGGGGCTTCTCTGGCGGTCCAGTGGTTAAGACTCCATGCTTCCATGGCAAGGGGCACGGATTTTAGCCCTGGTCAGGGAACTAAGATCTCACATCTCGCATGCCTCAGTGCAAAAAAAAAAAAAAAAAGACATAAAAGGACAAAAAGCAGTTAGAACAGCACCTGCCACGTTGTAAGTATTCTATGAGGGTTTGCTATCACCGTCCTCATCTCATCATTACTACTTCTACCTTTCTGCTCACATGGAGCTGTGCTAAAATCAATAACAATCCTGAAAGAAAAAGAATATGAATAAGGAATCAGTAAAGAATGTGAATAGTGGTTGGGAATGAACAGCCTCAGCCAAGGCTAGGAAGCTTCCTAGCCTCACTTCAAGTGATTCATTCAAGATATGAGTTAGAGATCCCAAACTCAGATCTGTGGGCCTCACACATTCAGCCTGCAAATGCTCTTGTTCAGCCTTCAGAACACTATATTTTTGTTTTCGTTTTGTTTTGTTTTGGCCATGCTACACGGCATATGGGATCGTAGTTCCCCAATTAGGGATCGAATTTGTGCCCTCTGCAATGGGAGCGCGGAATATTAACCATTGGTGAAAGTCACTCAGTCATGTCTGACTCTGCGACCCAGTGGACTATACATGGAATAGTCCATGGAATTCTCCAGGCCAGCATAGCAGAATGGGCAGGCGTTCCCTTCTCCAAGGGGTCTTCCCAACCCAGGGATCTAACCCATGTCTCCTGCATTGCAGGCAGATTCTTTACCAGCTGAGCCGCCAGGGAAGCCCAAGAATACTGGAGTGGGCAGCCTGTCCCTTCTCCAGGGGATCTTCCCGACCCAGGAATCGAACCAGGGTCTCCTGCATTGCAGGCGAATTCTTTACCAACAGAGCTATCAGTGACGCCGCTTAACCACTGGACCACCAGGGAAATCCCTGCACCATGATATTTTTAAAATCTGTTACTAACATATAGAAAACCAGATTCCTGGGTTCTCTTGAAAAGCAACCACCTGTTTGAGAGCTGGGTTTAGATGAGGTATCCCCCTCTGCAGCTAGCGGTGGGTGGTCTCTACCACTGCCTACCACCCACCCCCTTCACCCATTCACCTTGACCTGCCCCACCTTGTAGGTCCTTAAGTGTATATCCCCTCCATCTAAATGGCTTCCCCCCACCCCAGTGGAGGCTTGGAAGGAGCATTTTGCCACAGACAATTTATTTTCCGCAACCGCGACCCGATGGACCTGTGCCCTCTTCGCGGTTGGCGTCGATGTCACCACCAGCTGGAGGGTTTAGAGATGGGCTCGGGGACTCTGCAGCCTGAGCGGATGGCTTCCCAGAACTTGGGCAGGCGACCTAAAGAAAAGACCCCGTTGCCGAACAGAGGGAGCTCAGGCAGCTTTATCCCCGGCCTCTGAGGCAGGATGGGAGTGAGGTTCCGGCTCGTGTTGGCGGAGTTATCCGCGTACTGCACGGCGTTGACAGCCCTGCCGGACGGTACCACGCAGGTGCTGCCGCAGGGGTAGTCGAAGGAGGCCGCTCTGCTGCTGGGGTTACAGCAACTGCGGGGGGAGGCGTGGTCCGGGTGGTCCGGGTGGATGGAGTTGGCCGCGCGCTCCAGGTAGTTGGCCGCAAGCCTCGGCAGGCTCAGGGACTTAGGGCAGTTGCTGTAGAAGGCATTGGTGGATCTGTCGAGGTAGCTGATGCCTTTGATGAGCTGATCCAGGAAGGTGGGGTCAGAGGGACCCAAGGGGCGATCTGTACAGAGCAGGCAGTGGGGGTTGCCGCGACACGTGGGCTTCCTGGCCACCCTGGGGCCCTTCGCCAGGTGGCTTGTCTCCACGCACTTGGAGTTGTAGGGCCGGCCCATGCAGATTCTCCTCAACGGCGGTCTGGGGGAGCTCCGCCTGTCGGTGGGCTCCGAAGGGCTGCTGCGGGCCTGGGAGCCGCTCGGGGTCCGAGAGCGCTTGAGGTTGCTCGCCCCGGTCGTGCTGGGGCCGCGGGGCCAGCCTGGAGTCTGGGCCATGAAGGACGCATTGTGGTTGCTGGGGCTGGGACGGCCTGCTTGGTGTCCAGACATTGTCCCGGTCAAGCAGCCGAAGCTCCGTGGTACAGAACTGCTGAAATCTCACCGAGAGGCTGGCTCCCTGGGCCTGGCGGGGAGAGAGCTGGGTCAGCTCTCCTCGGCTCCTGGCCGCCTCCCGCTGGGCTTTCCTGTGTCCTCTCCCTATCTTGCTCCCCGGCCCAGGGATTTTTCAAACGGGAACGCAGGGCCCCGTTGGTTCTTCAGAAAGTGCAAAGGGCAGGAAATGGGGAGGGAGGCAAGACCCTGAGAACAACGGAAGTCAGAGGACCCCCTAGAAAGAGTGGGCAGTCTCCTTTTTCCTTTCACTGTAGCCCACATTCTGAAACTCCCATTCACCTTTTAAGCAGGGACTCCAGAAGACCACAGAGTCAAAGGACTAAATCTCTAATGGTGAAATTTGAGGCACTGAGACACACATTCTTTGGAGTAACATCAGATAGTTAATCACCCACTACACCATACACCCTGGTACTGAACAGTATGTCTTAGAAGCAATGCGATATAGATGCTTTTTCTTTGCCAGTCCTTTGCTTGTACCTTTACTTGTAAGTCTTAACTACAAATCCAGGAGGCAGTTATTATTCTATTCCTATCTGACAGATGGGGGAAACTGAGGCTCAGAGGCTTGACATGACTTGCCTCAGATCACATAGCTTGTGAGTGGTGGGGGCCAAGGTACTATCTTGAGTGTATCTGATGACCCCTAAAAGACAATGCCGTGTTGTTGGAGTGACTTTATCCGGACGACCGGTCTACTGAGGAAGAGCTCTCATCTCACCTGTTTGATAGGGGCACCGATGGGGAAAACCAGATGGGGAGTGGTGCTTGCTAACCCTGTAACTAAGTTGATCTTGTCTTCACGAACCCCAAGGGGAGAGGCCAGGAGATGCTGTATGTCTACTAATGGGGCTGGACTTGTGAGACAGAAGTTTCTAGAGTACAGTATTTGGTCTTCGCCTTCTCTGCTGAAGGGAGATGGTCTCATCCACCCCACAAAAGAAGGGTTCTTGGGGTTCCTCCCGGTCTGAAAGCAGAAACTTCTCAGGAACTAGGGCCTGGCCGTGCTCTGGCCCAGCTCACCCTGCTTCCTGTCCTGGGCCCGCCCAGGTGGCAGGAGCCCCAGCCCCATTCCCTTTGTCCCCCAGGTCCCCCGTACTCCCCCCTTTCCAGAAGGAAGGCTCTGATTTCTGTCCCCCACTACTGCTAGACTGATGCTAGTTTTCCACTTCTGCCTGCTGAGAACGGAGCCGTATTTGAGCCTGTCCCACCCAGGAAACAGCTGCCCGCTCCTCTCCCGGCCCACGGCCCCTCAGCTGCCCTTGTCCTTTGGGTCTGAATCGCGTGGAATGCCCAGACTCTCACTCTTCCATCCCTGGCCGAGCCCCACCCCAGCTCGTCCTCCGGATATAGGGGAGACGCCAGTGGGCTGCCCCCCACGGGCCCCCCCTTCCGGGCGGGCTGGGCCCTCTCCCCGGCTCCCTCTACCTTCAGGAGGTAGATGACTTAGCCCTCCTCTTGCTCTTCACTGGGGAGTACCCTGATGCCGCCATTCCAGACTCCTGGCCATGTCATAGAATCACAGAACCCTGGAGAGAGGAGGGCCTCTGGGGGTCAACCTGGTCAGGCTCCTGCCTTAGAACTAGTGCTGCGTTAAGCTCTCCAGGACAGATGGGCCCTATTTTTAAAGTGAGGCTGGGGTGGACGTTTTCCAGTGTCCCCTGTTGTTTTTCTAGCATTTAATTATGCTGAGAGTCAGGGAGTTCTTTGCCGGGCCTGATATAACTCTCGTTGGCTGTGGTCAGCATCAATTTTCTTTTCTCGTTGGGTCAGCAAACATTTGTTGAGTTTCCCTAAAGAGCTGTCCCTTTGAGTGACCCAGAACACGGCAGCACTTGCTTTTCTCCCTTCTCGCTGGCCCTCACACAGTCAGCAGTTCCGCGCTGAGTCCCTACTATGCAGTGGGCTGCAGCCTGAGGATTGCATTCAGAGCTCCTGTGAGCTTCCCTCCCTGGCCCATCTTGTACAAATCTGTCGGATGCGTCAACGAGATCCCCCTTTGAGAGCTCCTGGTGTTTCTGGACATCGTTTCCTTCCTGCCAGTAATGAAAATACACTTTTACTTTCTATTTTGAAAAGCATTCAAAATATTCAAACTTATTGAAAACTTACAAGATAATGAAGTCCCATATACTCTTCACTGCAATCTACTAATTATTAATTTTTGTCACAGCACCACACACACACACACACACACACACGCGCGCGTGCACGGATTATTATTATTTTGAGAGTCAGTTGCAGACAACAGCAGCCTTTACTCTTGAATACTTCAGCCTGTATCTCCTACAAGCTGGGAGAACAAGGATACCTTCTTACGTACCCAGTTATCTTACATACCCAGAATAATTAACACTGATACAGAGCTATTAGCTAATACACAGTCCACAATTTACAGATTATTTTCTCCGATGGTCTCTATGGCAGCTATGTCCCCAGTCCAGGAGCCAATACATGATCAGACATTGACTTTAGTTCTCAGGTGTCTTTGCTGTCCTTCAGCCTGGAAGTCCCTCCGTCTTGGTCTTTTATGACATGAATAGCTTTGAAGAGCTCAGGCAAATTGTTTTGGAGAATGTTCTCCCATTTGGGTTTAGCTGCAAGATCGCAAAGCACATACACACAGAAGCCTCCCCGGGACAGTCCCCAGCTCATAACCTCTGAGAGTGAAGGGCCTTTTGCCCTGGAGGGGGGTGGTTATAGCCACTGCAACAGGGAGCTGGGAGGAGGGCTCAGAGGGACCCCCAGAAGGAGGAAGAGGGGTGTAGGGAAACTCAATGGGCCAGAGAAGCAGTGGCAACCGTTCCCTTGTGGGGCCTCAGCCAGATCTGGTCCTGTCCTGGGCTGGGGGCCGGGCAGGCGGGCAGATGGCCAGCAAGAGGGCTGGGCCTCTGCGTATTTGTCCTGAAGGTACCCAGGCGCCGAGATCACTGGCCATTTCTGGCCTGGGCACTAAGAGCCTCTGGAAATAGCTCCAGGACAATTATTTCAGGAGGAATGTGCTATTCCCCCATCTTCTCAGAAAGCCAGACTGGGTCCCATAAGATCAGGAATGTCCGTCTCTGGCCTCTCGGAACTCCAGGGGATCCTGGGGTCCCCTGGGGGCCACAGTGGTCTTCAGAGCTGGGGAGGCTGGGAGGCCAGGATGGGGTCAAGCAGATGAAGAGCCCCCCTCCCCGTGCAGGGAGGGGTGGTTCTGTCCTCAGATCCTGGGCTCTCAAGGCCCAGCCTGGAGTCAGGCTTGGCCAGCGGGGGTCCAGCTGACTCCAAGCCCAGGGACACAGGAACAGGAGGGGAAGGGAGGGGAGGGAGGGGAGGGGAGCTGCCCGCCCCACCTCCTGCCCGGACCCACGCCTGAGAAACTGACGTGGTAGAGCACTTACTATGTGCCAACAAACCCGACATTGTCAGATTCCCAGTCATCGCACCCACCCTCTCATTTAATCCACTTTGCGCCCCTGGGAGGTAGGTGGTTTGCTTTTCAGATGAGGTCCTTGAGGCTCACAGAGAGCAGGAGACTTACTCAAGCTCACCCAGCAACCAGAATTAAGACTCAACGTTTGAATCCCAAATCCTACAGGCTTGAGCACTAAACAAGGAAGAGGGTGGGCCACCCACTCACTCAGTGAGGACTTGGTAAGTGACCCTGAGAACTGAGAGGCGTTGGGAGGGGTCCAGCCTGAAGACCCAGGCTGGAGGGAAACTTAGCCCTGTCTCTCAGTGAGCCTCCGACGTCCACCCCCAGCCAAGGCCAGCTGCCTCTTCCTCCCTAGCACTGCAGGATGGATGCCAGGGTCTCAGAATATCTTGCCCCTCCCTGCACCGTCTCTAGCCACAGTGGCCCCTACCCTTTCCCCATCTGGGCCATCTCCAACCTTGGCTCCTTAGCTGCATTGCCAAATCAACTGCAAATCATGAACTTTTCACAAGCCCCTGCTCCTCCCACTCTGTCCTCTCTCACCTGACCGCCCCTCCCTGCATCCCTACCCTCTCTCCTCCAGGTCCCACCAAGACCATCGGAGGCCCTCTCCCCATCCCACATTCAAAGAGTTCAAAGGCATCTCCTTCCCCGAGACTCCCCAAGAGTGGACGGAACAGCCCCCTTCTCCAGAGACCATAGGACCCTGAGCCATTACTGCATAGGTGGCTTATTAACCCCTCACCTGTCACCCAGAGGTCCCCCTCTTCCCCCTACCCCCAGATGGTGGGAGGAGTCTCTCCTTGTTGTTTCAGGCACTTGGCAAGGAGGAGGCCATACATACATGTGAGTCCATCTCAGGCCAGGGGAACAGCTAGAACCAAGAGCCAGGGCTGCAATGCCGCTGTCCCACCCTGCTTGGAGGACACTTCTCGCAGCCTCTGGCTACCCTGAGCACTGTGACTCACCTGAGCCTTTATCTGGCTTGGGGCCAACACGCCCACAGGGCTGAAAACCTCTCCTGGGCTGGGCTCTGGCCCTCTCCCAGATGCAGTCTCCATCCACTCAAGCATAATGAGTCACAACCCTGCCTCATCCCCTAACGCCCTCAAAGATACCAGCCCTCTGCTCGCCAGCTGCCAAAAGAGCACTTCCCCAGGCCCACGTGTGGCAGGTACAAGCCAGGACAGATCTGAGCTCAGGAGTGCTGGGGCAGGTGTGGCTTGGCAGGAGCCCCAGACGGCAAGAGCTGCCCTCTTGCCAAGACACCTCAGGGTTTTCAAGGTGAAGCAGCCAATCTGGGAGTGGACAGGAATCTCATCTTTATGAGCCCTGGGAAATTCCCTCTAAGAGGGGATGGGGATGATGGTCATGTATAAGCTTAATTGTTGCTGTTGGTGTTCCGTTGCTAAGTTGTCTTTTTCCGAAAGTGCTGCACTCAATATGCCAGCAAATTTGGAAAACTCAGCAGTGGCCACAAGACTGGAAAAGGTCAGTTTTCATTCCAATCCCAAAGAAA